CACCATGTGCACTAAACATAATACCCCTCGGTCCCCTTCTCCCTCCCTCCCCACCCGCCCTCCCCACCCCTCCCCTCTGGTAACATCTAGTCCCTTCTTGGAGTCTGTGAGTCTGCTGCTGTTTTGTTCCTTCAGTTTTGCTTCATTGTTATGCTCCACAAATGAGGGAAATGATTCGGCACTTGTCTTTCTTCGCCTGGCTTATTTCACTAAGCATAATACCCTCTAGCTCCATCCATGTTGTGGTAAGTGGTAGGATTTATTTTTTTTCTTATGGCTGAATAATATTCCATTGTGTATATGTACCACATCTTCTTTATCCATTCATCTACTGATGGACACTTAGGTTGCTTCCATATCTTGGCAATTGTAAAAGTGCTGCGATAAACATAGGGGTGCATATGTCTTTTTGAATCTGAGAAATTGTATTCTTTGGGTAAATTCCAAGGAGTGCGAGTCCCGGATCAAATGGTATTTCTATTTTTAATTTTTTGAGGAACCTCCATATTGCTTTCCACAATGGGTGAACTAGCTTACATTCCCACCAGCAGTGTAGGAGGGTTCCCCTTTCTCCGCATCCTCGCCAGCATTTGTTGTTCTTAGTCTTTTTCATGCTGGTGATCCTTACTGGTGTGAGGTCATATCTCATTGTTGTTTTAATTTGTATTTCCCTGATAATTAGCAATGTGGATCATCTTTTCATGTGTCTGTTGGCCACCTGAGTTTCTTTGTAGAACTGTCTCTTCATATCCTCTGCCCATTTGTTAATCAGGTAATTTGCTTTTTGGGTGTTGAGGTGTGTAAGTTCTTTGTATATTTTGAATGTTAACCCCTTGTCGGATATGTCATTTACAAATATATTCTCCCCTACTGTAGGATGCCTTTTTGTTCTGTTGATGGTGTCCTTTGCCGTTCACAGTCCTCAGTCTTAATTTGTGTTTCCCAAAGTATGTCTCCAAAGTGGTCTGGCCACCCTGCCCAGTCCGAACAGCTGAGTCATCTGCTCACTCCCCCTATGCCACTGGGGTCCCCCTGGCTTGCTTCTGCCCATGGGTATATCCATGCAGCATTGGCATCCATGTTAGGGGGATCCCGGGGTCTTTCGAGAGAAAAGCACAGCTGAAGAGGTTGGGGGGCAGTGGGGAAAGCACTCAGAGGCCATGGAAGGTCTGGCCTGAAGTGGGGAGTCTGTGTGGATCTCTAAAGGGCAAAGGCCTGTGGTCTGGGAGGCATGAGACCCAGGGCAGGTGCCGGAGCCACCCCTTGTGGTCCTCGGGCCTTTAGAGCTGTGACACTCACTGCCCCAACCTGTGGACAGCCTCCTGAATCCCTCCCCAGCTGAGTAACAGTTCTTCCTTACCTTGTCAAACCTAATCTGTCCCATGCCCCCTTCCTGCTTCCCGTGGTTGACATGGGGCCTCACCAGAGAAGGGAAGGAGGGGGCATTGGCCAGAGGTGGCATAAGATTCAGAGCACAAAAGCACAAGACGGCGCACGGGCTCAGTCCAAGGGAGTTGGAGCTTGAGTTTCTTTGTTCCCATCTCCCAACACCAGCCAGCCTGGAGATGGGAAGAGCCTGTATCCTCCCAGCCCTGCACTGCGACCGCCAGCTGACCTAGGCTCAGCGCTGGGAGCCTTGACTGGGTTTACCTGGGAGCTTGTGGTTGGAGTTGGAGGGCTGTAACAGCCCACTTTGGGCATCCTTGACTGCCACATGCAGGCAAGAGCGGAGCATCTGGTAGATGGCAGCAAGGGAGAGGCTACAGGTGGCCAGGGTACTCAGGATGGGCATGCTGAGGAGCTTATGGGTGAAAGCAGGGGCATCCCCAGAGGCCTGGCCCAGCAGCTCCACCACCAGTGCCTCAGTGACCTCAGACCTTGGGCCCAGTCCCACCTCCAGAATTCCATGCAGGTGTCAGTCCGTCTGCTCAGCCAGCTTGATAAGGGAGTCCTTGTCCAGGCAGAGGCCACAACGGTAGCCTTCCAGGGAGTGGATGAGCATGTATAGGTTGCACACCACATCCTGTATGCCCGGCAGAGGATGCAGGTTGATGCCACAGGCCATGGAGGCCACCAACCAGTTGTGCTGTCCCAGCGAGGCCGCCTTCTTCCCTAAGGTGGGCTTTGAGATGTTGGGCAGGGCCATCAGGAGTGCATCCGCTGTGGCTCTCCAGTTCCTGCACCATTGGCTCCTCCGGTAGGGGGAAGTCATACTTGCCCAACTCAAACGTGGAGAGCAGGAAGACCCTGGGCTCCACGCCCTCCTCTACAGGAGACCAATGCCCCGTTCCATCAGTTTCTGCACCAGACAGCTGCCTGGGCCTAGGCACTTGCCTTGAGTCAATACAGCATGTGGCTTGAGAGTGTCAGCCCTGGAGCCAGGCTGCCTGAATTCAGATCCCAGCCTTCCTACCTAGCACCTGGGTAGCCCTGGGCAAGATACCAAACCAGAAGCAGCTTCCGTAATATAAGGTATAAATCTGTACTGTAAGTGATAATTGCACCTTTCTCTTAGGGATGTAGTAGTGGCAAACTGAGTTAATGAAAATGGTGTCTGGCTTGTGGCGAGCCCTCAGTAAATGTCAGCTGCCTTCAGGGACAGCTGCCAGTGCCGCATGGGCCCACAGCATTTGCATACACAGGCCAGCACATACTCTGTTTTCCTTAATGCAAGTGGTGGGTTTCACACGTGACGGACATGCCAAGTCTCAGGAAGTGAATGACAGTTGTAAGCATTATTTCACTGTGGGGCCTAGTGTAGTCACGTGGAGTGACCTTGGGCAACCCCCTGTCCCACTGGGCCTCTGCTGGAAGATGGCAGGGGAGGGGCAGGCAGGCCCTCAAGAATGCACCCAGCCCAGCCCCCAGAACCTGCTCCTCACCCTGCAGCCACTGCCAGCAGCCATCCCGGATCTGGCTGAGGATTCTGAGAAGGTGCTGGGGCGGCAGCCGCATGAGGCAGCAATGTCCACGTCTACCTTGGAATGGACCAAGTAGAAGCACTTGTGCTGCTGCAGGATCTCACAGACCAACTTGGCGTGAGTGGCAGTGAAGCTCTCTGATGAAATGATGATAAAGAAGTCAAACTGGTCGAGCAGCACCCTCTGGAGGTATTGGTCAGTCTGGAAGGTGGATGTGTCTATGCCCAGCAGGTCCTAGATAACCACACTGGGGTACTTGGGGCGTGGGTAAGGTGTGGGGTCCACAGTCATTTCCACCACACCCATGCAGGCCGAGTGGAGGTCCTCATCTCCCAGCCCCCGGATGGCATTGACAAAAGTCGACTGCCTGAGTCTGTCCTCCCGGTAATGCCGATGTCCAGCCTGACATTCTCCAGTGAGTGAGTGTGGCCTGCAACTTGGTGGCTACTGCTGGCAGGTTCCCTGCCTCAAAAGCCTTCAGAGCCCTGGTGTCCCTTGATAGCTCCAGTATTTTGGCCTGGCTGAGGCTTGACTGGACGATTTGGCATGCCATGATGTGCCTGACCCCCAGTTCTCTGACCAGGACTTGTTGACCTTGGACTGGACGGGGAAGGGAGTATTTTTGCTCTGAGTTGTCCTCTCCTCCTCTTTGCCTCCCTCAGCTTGCCCAAAGCATTTGAGGCATCACCAGTAACAGTACTGAGAGTGTAACGATATGCCAGGCCGGGTTCTCCTCCTGGAGTATCTCATTATCATTAAATCCTCAAAACAGCCGGGAAAGGAGATTCCCTTGCTATCTATATTTGGTACTGAGAGGAAAAGTCACTAGCCTAAGGCCTCCAGCTAGTGCATGGGGTGTTGGGCATGGGATTGGCGTCTGCTGATCTTAGAATTCAGATTCTCACCTAACTTGTTTTGGGGGTTCACCATGCACCAGGCACTCTGCTCGACAAGATAGGGAGTGACAGAGCTGGAACCATCGTCTTCCCTGAGAGTAGTTAATGTTCTTAAGTCCCCATTTTGCAGAGAAGGAAACAGGCTTGGGGAGGTAAAAGTTAACTCGCTAAGTGTCTTGCAGCCTGCATGGGGCCAGGACATGGCCCAGCTCCCTCATCCTTTTGCCACACAAGCCCCCTCAGATCCCCAAGCTCCCACTACGGGTCAAGACCTCTTCCGGTACTGCAGTTCCAGCACCAGGAAGACACATCAGTGGGTCTGGTACGCTGGAGGCACTGCCCACCCTGCCTGGCTCCTGAGTACCCTGCGTCTGCTCAGGAACGGCAGCATGCACCTCGGCAAGCCCTGTCCTGCCTCCAGGCCTCGGATTCCTCAGCTGTGATGGACAGGGGCAGCTAGCACTGACATCCTGGGATTGCACGACCGCGTCCCGTCTCAGCCATGCCTGGGACTTGCGGGGTGACACAGGGTAAGTCGTGTCCCCTCTGCAGCCTTTATTTCCTCCTCCTGTGAGGGGTGGGGGTGTCAGTTTCCTCACCTGCAAAGTGAAGCGATGACTCTCCAGCTCTGCTGTCTCAGGATGACTCAGGGTGGTACTGCTGATGAGGTTCGGGAAGAAGCCAGCTTGGGAAGGGCTTGCAACATCAGGCTGAGCTTAATCTTTGTCTGTGGGTAGGCATGGAAGAATGGCCTCAGAAAGGGCCTTCTGTGGCCTTAAGGAGAAAGACACTGGAGCTGGAAAGACAAGCAAAGTGCTGGGGCAGGAACTGAGTGGAGAGGGCAAGGCCTGAGCTGGAACAGGCTCAGGGGGTCGAGATGGGGGACAGGGAAGGCAGAGATGGAGGCACAAGGGACACAACAAGGTTACCAGTTGGAGAAGACAGAAGTAACCCATTTTGTCTAACCTTAGACCTGGTGAGAATGTGCTATTTGCGTGTGACCTTTCCACCCCAGCCCCTGGGGCCAGCAAATCCTGCCTTTAGGATGATGGCTGAAGCTCCACAGGTGCAGGGATATGGGCTGTGTTTGAGAATGGACTTGGAAAGGACCCTCTGTCTTGTGTGTCTGGGGGCCTAGGACTTCCCTACCATGATTCCCTGCACCTTCTTTGGTGCAGGAAGGTCAGTGTGAACCCCAAAGGAGTCCTGGCAGAGCCTATGGGGATGCCTTCCAGGAAGAGAGGAATTGTTTTGCAAAGCAAGAGCCCTTCAGCAGAGACTCAGTGCCCCTTTACTCCTCCAGGTAGAGGTGGACCCTCTTAGTCTGGAACTGGCTCCCAGGGTCAGAACTAACTGGGGGCCCAAACCGTCACCAGATTCCGGAGAATCCGCAGTGGCTATTTGCACACCTGGGTGAGCCACCAACCCAGCCCGAGTCCTCACTCTGCCACAGGCCTTGCACACGGCCTCCAGTGCCACCTTCTGAATTCCTGGAATCTCACCTTTCTTTGCACCTAAATCCGATCCTTCCCTGTCCCTTGTCCAAGCCCACAGAAGCCACTGGGGCAACCCGTTCTGTCCAAAGCCCCCATCTGGTAGTTCTTTAGTTAAAACATGTGACCCTTGACTTGGTGTGTGAGTTTAGACTTGAGGGTGTCACATTCACTTTTGCATTTCCGCAGAAGAGCTGAGCCCAGAGCGACAGGCAGTGCTGAGGCACTTGGTTTTCCAGGGACGCCCCGGCCAAGCACACATACCTGTATGCACATACCCTGTGTCACTCACAGCCACATGCAGCATTCAGAAACCCAACACAGTCACCCCCACTCAGACCCACAGCGTTTCAGCACATCCCAGTATTCACGCATGTGTGCACACACACACAACTGTGCAGAAACAGCTAGCAACCCCCATGTGCAAACTACTCTCCGCCTTAGACCCACAACATCAAAATCACAGACTAGCCAAGATTCCTTCCAGTCACAGACACACTAGAAAGCTTATCGCCACACACACTCACGCTTAGACACAGCCTTTCGGAAAAGACTGTCTGGGTGGCGCGTTGTGTCCTCTGCCTCCTGTCTCCTTCGATGCTCAGAGAGACAGCCCACCCGCCCTCTCACCACCCTGCTCAGGTTCTGCCTGCCCAGGCTCAGCGTGGAGGCCAGCCCAGGGCCACCTGGCCTCCCCTCTCCCTGCCACCACACCTACCATCATGCACCGGCAGCAGGGCTGGCTCAGGAGGCCCCGTGTCACCTGCCCTGTTTAACACGGTAGCCAAGCACCTTTGTGCTGATCCAGGGCGCCGATTGGCTGCCCCTCCCACCTCCAGAGGAGGCCTTTGGGACACTGGGGTTCTCAGAAAAGGACATGAGATTGCAACTAAAATAAGTACCTTAGCATCCCCAGTCCCCACTCACCACCCTTGGGAGCTGACAGACGGCCTCCTGTCCTAGACCCAGGCTGGGCTGTTCCGCTTCCTCACACACCCGCCTTGGCCCCTTGGGCACCAGAGACAGAGATCCCACCGAGGAGCCCTTGGCCCACCATCCGCGTCTTGAACCACCTCTGCAAGATCAGTTCCCACCCCAGTTCAGTGTTTTTCTCTTCCACACGGGCCCACCAGCCTCCCTGAGGCCCCTCCACACCCCGCCCCTGCCCTGCCCCGATGGCAAACGCGTTGCTCTGTCAGACCCCCCACCCCCGCCCCTCACCCCCACCAGCAATGGCAGCTCTCATTTTCACCACATTGGCCGATTTTGGTTGGTTGGTTGGTTTTGTTAAGGCTCAGTTTGTGGGTGAGGTGGGGTTTGGGGGCTGCAATTTCACTTCTCGGCCAGCTTCCTCCAGCTGTCGAGAATGTACCTGAGAAAGAGACGGAGCTTTGGGAGGGCCGAGAGTGGGGCTTCCTGGCCAGCACCCTCTGCGGACTCCTGCCTCTCACCGCCATCGTCACCAACCGCCCCCAAGATCCTCCTCCAGGGCCCGGATGCAGACCCGCTGGGCATCCTCAGCCATCTCGCTGAGGCAGCCCTGGAGCAGGGTGCAGACGGTGCCAAAGCTGATGCCACTGGCCACCAGTGTATCGAACGCAGGGATGCCCTTCTCAAAGGCACGGGCCCCCCGCATGGCGCCATCAGATGACGGTGAGTAGAGCCGCAGGACAGTTTCAGGCGAGACCTCATTAGCCAGCGGGGAGCAGATGACCAAGCGCAGGTCCCCTGCCTGTTTGCCCACCTGCTCGCTCAGCTTGGCCAGCAAGTTGTCGTCCAAGCCAAAGCTGTGGTTTTAGCTACGCAGCAAGTGGAGGAGCAGGACGTCATCGCAGGTGGCGCCAGCCCTGGCACGGATGGGGCCTGGATGACACCCAACGTCAGGGCCGTCCTAAGCACCTGGTCCTGGAGCATGTCCTCCTCCTGCAGGGCCTCCAGCGAGATATCGGGCTGTGACCGCAGGCCAGCGAGGCGCCGATGGGTGGGCAAGTCGTGCTCCCAGGTGGACACAAGCAGTGGAAAGTCCTAGTGGGCCAGTGGGAGGTTGGACACGGAGAAGATGCGGGGGTCGGTCACAGCAGCCGCCTGCAGCCGCTCAGCACAGTGGTCACGATTTCCTGCAGGACTGCGGCCTCACTGAAGCCCAAGGGCCGCTGGGTGTGTGTGGCGGCCAGGTCCTCATCCACCTTGGTGCACACAAAGTAGAACTTCTTGCCCTGGCGCAGGATCTCGGATGCCAAGCGGGTCTCCACGGCCCCACAGCGGCGGGGCGAGACCAGCAGGAAGAAGTCATAGCGGCCGAAGTCCAGCTGCTTCAGGTACTTGTCAGCTGGGCAGCCTGGAGAGCCGGCCCCCGGCAGGTCCCACAGTCACGTCAGGTAACTGTGGGTGTGGTTAGGATGAGGGGTGCACTGTGGTCTCAGTGACACTGGTGAGAGCTGCGCCGGGTCCTCGGCCCCCAGGCCACAAAGGGCATTGATGAGGGATGACTTGCCAGCTCCCGACTCGCCTGTGATGCCCGCCTCCAGGCGGATGCTCTCGGAGGAGGTCAGCAGCTTCCGGAGGCGAGAGGCGGCCTGGGGAATGTCGCCCGACTCGAAGGCAGTGCGCAGGGCGTCCAGCTCTTCCTTGGCCATGAGGATGGTGGTCTCCCCAAGCACCACTGGCAACTTGGAAGTAGCCATGGTGAGCAGTGGTTCAGAGGGCACAGGGGATGGGGGTGGGTCACAGGACGGCAATCCTCAGCGTCTGTGTCCGGGAGAAGGGAGCCCTTCACACCTCCTGGGCCTTGGTGGCAGGGAGAGACAGACACCAGGACATGGAGGAAGTTCCTTGGGAACCCCACAGCCCTCTCCTCAAAAATCTGGGGCAGGGGCTTTGAAGTCTCTCAAGCCCAGGTTCACATCCTGTCTCTGCCACTAACTTGCTGTGTGACCCGGGGCAGAATGAGGCACCTCTCTGAGCCTGTTTGCTTCTCTGTATAACACTGACTGACCTGCCTCCTGAGGAGCCTTCGGGATAACCAAGGAACAGGGGCCATTTTATGGGCAGCTTGTGACCCATGCAGCCACACGGGCCCCACACTTACAAGGCCCAGCTCTTGGTTGAATGCTCCACTGATGCTGACTGCGATTTTTAATATTTGAGCCAGGGGCCCTGCATTTTCATTTTATACTGGGCGCAAGCAGAGAGGAGCATAGGTGGTGGAGAAGGGGACCCAGGCCCTGGGGTGAGATCCTGCCTGTGCCACATACTCACTGCACGACTTGGGGCACATTACCTCTGCGCCTCACTTTCCTCGTGTAAGATGAGAATAAAAGCTACCATAATAGCAAACCACCTCCTAGGGTTGTGAAGAATTAAATGAGTTAATACACACAAGGCACTTAAATAGTGCCTGGCTCAGAGCAGGGGGTCCATGCCAGCAGCAGCATTACCGGTATCAGTATTCCTAGCTGTGTGACTGCGAGCAAGTCCCTGCTCTGTCTGAGCCTCACCGCCACATGCACACCAAGGAAGAGAGCCCTGCCCACCTCTCAGGGCTGCTGTGACAGTCGTGCTCCCCGTCCCTGTATCCCTGGTCAACTGTGAAGACCTTCGTGGGTTCAGCTCAGGGGAGAAGCCCGGCCGGGGCAGTGCCCAGACCCTGGGAGGCCTGCTCATCACACGCCCAGCCCTGCCGTGGCGGCCCCATGCGGCCAAGTCCCTCCGGCCTCCTGGTGCCCATCAGCTGGGGTCTCCTCAGAGCCACCCTGGCTGGGAGCTCCCCGGGCACCCCCTCTTCCCAGTCACACTCCCTTCTGGGCCATCGTCTCTGAATACACCTCCCCACTGGCTAAGACTCTTCAGAGAACCTCAGGGGGGCGCCCACACTGGAGATCACCGCTCCACCAGACAGTGATGGCCTCCCGCAGAAGCTCGGCCAGGACGCAAGCCCAGGTCCACGGGCTCCCTCGCCCTCTGGAGGGCTGCTCTCCCTGCAGCCACATGTCTCTGCCTCCCCCTCGCCTCCTGGGCTGGCCCTGTCCTCCTTCGCCCCACAACGGGCATCAGTCCTTTTCACACGGTTCCTGCCAGCTTGGATCCCCCACCCCCTGCCCCTCAGCTTTACCCACCCCTCCTGCACCCTGTCCTCCCCGGGCATACAGGGTGTGGCCCTGGTAAAGGAGAGCTGGTGACTGGGACAGTTCCCAGCAGCCAGGGCCAGACAGTGGCCCCCTGGGGGGGCCTGGGGTGAGGGAGCTGGGATGGGCACCCGGAGCCCCTGCCTCAGGCCTACCTGCAGGCCCAGCTGGAGAGCCCTGCCCTCCGGGACCCGCCTGCATGCAGGCCCTCACTCCCCCCACACTCTCCCTGCTGATGGGGTCTCCTCTCCTGTCAGCCTAAGGACAGACCCTGCTGCGAGCACCCATTATATGAACAAGCAGCAGCCTGTTGGTCAGCCGGCCCCTAGGGCAATAATGTGACCGTGATGTCAAGGGGGGCTCCTAGGGTGGGGCAGGGGCCCACGGCCCAGCTGCTCGTGGGACCACCACTTGGATCAGCCACGCGGGGCCCACAGTCCCCCACAGGGACCCACAGAGATCTAACACCCAGATTTGTTCAAAACCTGTCCATTGTCTCCACCCCCACCCCAGGACAAAGTCCCAGCGCTGAAGCCTGGCACCTGAGGGCCTGACCCTACTTGCCGCCCTACCCTCCACTTCTCCTCCGTCAGGGGCCTCTGTCTCCCCCACAGTCATTCATTCCCCCTTCTCTGCACCATCCACTCACCCACCTCACACTTGCGGCACATGCTCCTCGGTGACTGGGCTTAGCCAGTGCGGCTGGGAGGAAAGGAAGCACTGGGGGAGGCCAACAGGGCCACTGCCGGCCCGACCCCGCCTGGCCCTGGCACCAGCGGGCTGGCACCCGCACCCCAATGCAGTATCTGGTATCCAGGCCCCAGCCTCTGGCTTCTGTCCCTGGGATTTTGAAGTCCTCTCTGACCCAACCCAGCCCATCCTTCAGGTCCCGCTCAGGTGCCACCTTCTGTATGACGCCATTCTCCATTCTGCTCACCCCCTCCACTTCCTCATGACTGTGTGAAATGGCATCAGTGTGTCACAGAGGGAGATGGAAGTAGGGAGAAATGTGACGAGAAAAGAGGGAGAGGCAGAGGACCCCCAAGAAAAGGGAGAGATGGGGTGGGAAAGAGACTCCCCAAGAGAAAACAGTCAGGCAAGAAGCCAGAGCAGACAAGAGACCAAGTCAGAACTACAGTTTCCAGGGCTCAAGTTAGAGAAGAAGATAGGGAGCGAGATGGAAGCAAGGGGGGGCCACCAAGACACGCAGAGAAGGAGCTGAAGGTCCAGAGACCGGCACACCCAGAACCCTGACCCGGGCTCCCCTGACGCCAGCACCTCCTGCTGCAGCCGCCAAGCATCCCTGTGACTGGTTCTTTTCCAGCCGACTCCACCCTGTCTGCCCGCAGGCCTCCTCTCTGCCCAGGCCGGGCGCCACCCATGGGGCCTCCCCAACCCCAATTCTGGGACGGCCACAGGCTCCTGCTACTCAAAGGATTTTCCTGATGATCTGAAGGTCGGTCTGGGAAGGAGCCTTTGAAAACAACTGGGGAGGAGGTGGAGACCCAGAAGGGGAATAGATGAGTTCAAGGCCACACCAAGGAGAATGAGTCGTCTGCTCACCACATAGCCTAGAATTTTAAACCACAGACGAGAGAGAAGTGCGGATCAGCAGCCACGCAGGCTCATTCACATCCTCACTGGTGGACACAAATGCATGGAAACCAAGAGATGAAAAACATTTGCAGACATTCCCAGACACCAAGCACACAGACCAAGACTCTGCCCCCAAAGCCACAGACACACATCTGGTTCAAGAGGGAAGGCAAAGACAGACTCTCAAACAGAGTCATTACAGAAAAGCAAAACTCAGACCAATGTACAGATAAGTCTCACACACTGACCTCATACACAGACTTTAACCTGGGACCTCCCCACCCCCTCCACATCCATTCATGACCCTCATTCATTCTGCTCCAGCTCCGATCCCAAGTGCCCAGCCATGAGCCAAGGCCCCAGAAAGGCGTCTGACCCAGGCTCTGCCCCTGGGGATTTGGGGTGGAGGAAAGGGAGATGCATCACCCCCCAAGGGGTCTGTGGGCCAGGACGGCTGCAGGGCACCTGCACAGATGCATCTGGTGCAGGCTGGCCTGCTGCCTGGGGTGCTTTTGCCAGCTCCTGAGAGCGCCAGCCAGAGAGAGGCGGCACCCTTGCCCGTCTGCCAAGCCTCCTCTTCCCTCGTCATTCAGCACACATCCAGCACCTCTCCAGGCTCCATGCTGGGAAGACAGCAGTGACTGAGACAGCCCCAGGATCTGCCCCCACAGGGCTCAGAGTCCAGTGGGGAGTCAGATCCAACCCCAGACATGATGACCCAGAGCAGGCAGGCTGAGGCGGGGGGCCCAGAGGACTGGGGGGCACAAAGGGGGCACCTGAGCCAGCCTGGGGGTCAGGGAGGGCTTCCTGGAGGAGAGGGCGCCTGAACTGAGATCTGAAGGATCAGTAGGAGTGAGCCAGGTGGCCTGCTGGGGAGTTGCATCCCAGGCCACGTGCCCAGCCCAAGCTAAGACCCTGAGTTGGAAGGGAGCACTTCTTCGTTCGCCCAGTAATCCACTCAGTACTATTTGGTCATTCCACAAACATTTGTTTAGACCTGACCCTCGGCCGGCCGCTGTCCTGGTTCTGAGATGTGAGTCACACTTACCCTGCTCTTACAGACCTGGCAGGGTGCTGGGGGAGGCCGGCGTGACTGCCCACAAAGGCCGAGTGTGCGCTTGCTTGGCGCTCTCAGGGAGGGAGCCGGGCGTGGTGTGAGGCCCATCGGATGGAGTGACTCATTTAAGAGGGACTGGAACTCTGTTCTCCCACCTGTCATCCCAGGACAGACATAAAGCCCAGGAGCTGAGACTGAAAGAGAGAGGAAGACAGAGACAAATGAGCTCACGGCATCGATTCACTGGTTCTTTCCACAGGATTCCTGCATAATCAAATCTGTCCGATGCTGTGTTCTGTCCTGCTAACGGGAAAAAATGCTGCCAGTAAAACTGACACGATATTTCTTTATCACTTAAAATTTCTGTTTTACACTTACTGGAAGGGTTCTCTGTAGATTTAGAAAAATAGAGATATTTTTATCATTTATCACTTGTGTGTGTCTCTAACCAGGAAAAGACAAAGAATTAAATTGGCTAAGCTGTTCCTAAACCACACCGAGTCTAACTGCGCGGAGCTGCCTCCGCCTCCCAGCAGTGCGGCCCTCTGGGCTTGCCTTCCCACATGTGGTGTCCTCCGGGCCGTCGGGAACAGCGACGATGCTATTTAAAGCACCTGCCTTATCACATCCTGGCAGTGACAGCTACGTCACTGTTCTGCCTGGCTGATGGCCATTGTGCCTCAGCTGTGATTCCTCCTATTTCCAAATCGCTAAGAGGTGAGGGGCAGAGGGGAGGTCATCTCAGAGTTGATGGTGGCGTTCCCGGAGTGTCCTCTCTGGGTCCGCCAGGCTGGGAGTACAGCGATGACCGGGTCAGCCCTTTCCTACAGGCAGGACGTTTTCGCAGCATATACTTAACCTGTGCGCCAAGGGCCCCCTGGTTGATGTTCTACAGCGGGCAGAGTGGGGGACACAGACCTGTCCCCTGACAGTGACGGCCACAGTAGATAGGGTAGGGATGGAGTCGCCCAGAGGGGTGATAGTCAAGGGGGTGCCTAGCCTGGTAGCTGGGGCAAGTGGAGTCAGCAGAGGCTCTTTGGAGAAAAGCCATTCACTCAACACACTTCCCTATGGCTGCCTGTGGGACCAAACAGCCCCTGCTCTTCCCTCATGCGGCCCCAGTCCTCTGCCTCCTCCTCGCCCAGTTCCCCTGCCCACTCCTAATCCTCCTCTCCTCGTGATCCTTTCTCCCAGCGCCCCTTAAGAATCCTAAAGCACATCCCTAGGAATGCGTACACTGTGTGGCCTTCACCTTCTCCCCATCGCCGTAATCCTGAGGACACCTGGAAGTCCCCAGGGAGTCACACATTTGTTCATTTAAATATGCGTTGGCTGCCTCCTATGTGCCAGGCCCGGCTCTAGCACGGGTGCAGTGACACGGTGGTGACAGACCACGGATGACCTTTGCCCTTGTGGAGCTTGTATTTTTTGAAAGATACAGATAAACAAAAGTAAGATAGTGTCCAAGTGTGATAAGAAAAAAGGCAAGAAAGTAAAGGTTAAGGGGCTGGGTGGGGGGTTTGTAGGTTGCCTGCAACCATGGCTGCCGAC